GTGCATTGATTATAACAGAAAAAAAATGACCAGCAATCTCAAACCGAACATCTCTGCGTTAACCTAAAATAACTAAAGTTTGAAATCTGACAATGAGATTTTAGTTTCTTAGAAAACTCAAGAAAACGATTGGAAATAAAACGGAGAACAGCTTCATTTTATTGTAACTTTGATTTGAAGTTTCGATTTTGTTTCTCAAAGTGAAAGAGTCAAAACAAGTGAATCAAATTGATCAAATGATCAATTAGAATAGTTTAATGTTGACCAGAATAGTTTAAATTCGCTATCTTCTTTCTAAAATAGAAGTAAGTCAGTTGTGAAAGCAAATGTTTGATCCAAGTAAATTTTAAATATTTAAACATTAGCCCAGTGTTAGGTTCAAATAAGGCTTCTGGTGGGTCCAAGCGAGGATTTGAAACAACCCAGTAACCCAGTTTTGAGCTAACTCCAGGAAATTATCTCTTAAATCTCTTGTCCATTTAAGTTCGAAAATTTTGCGAATTAATGAAATTTACAAATTTTAAATAAGATTAGGAAAAAGGTTTAGTAATTAAACGAACCCAAAAAGGTGGATAAAAATAGAAAACGCATCGAATACGCTTTCCGGGATATGAGTAATGATTGATAATTCAATCAATACAAAAATAGACTCCGATTTCTATCAAACAAAAGATCTGCCTTGGTGTAATATACAAAATTTTCATAAAAATCAAAAATTCGTCTTCATTTGACTCTGATTTTCTTTGGAAAACTATATGCGAAGCGAACTCTTCGAATTATAAAATGTCTGGTAAACCATCTTTTGTTCAATGATTTACGCATAAGAAATACCCTAGAGACCATTAATTTTTCTTCTCGACAAATTAGTTCATTTCTGTTTTAGTTATTTCTGTTTTAGTTCTTCATTTTGTTCGAACTAGCCTTACGACTTTATTCTTACGATTCACAAATTCATTTTTTTTCCCTTATTCAAAACAAAATGCTGGGCCACATGAATTTCAGTCATTATGTGGTGTTTGCCTTCGGTTCTACATCGATTTTTGCGAATTTCGGATTGATTTATTTGATTGCCAGATATAGGTGAACAAATTACCATCACTTGATATTGAAAAGATCCTTTTCTGCAGTAGTTTTCTGCAGTAAAGCCAGGATAGTTTTCTTTCTAGTCCAATCCTAGAAAAAATGCCGGCTCTTGCGTAGTTTGAAAGAATCTGAGAAATGTTTTGAAGCTAGTATAATAAACGGATTTTTTTTTTGTTTCAGTCGCCCAGAGTTCGGTCGCTACA